GTAATTTTCCAACGTCCCACCTTGATAATGTGCTTGAGATAGCCAACTTCTCAACTCAGTACATTGGCACCATGCCTTAGGATATCTATGTACACTACAAATGAGTCATAGACCCAGTCACTGCCCGATGAGAACAGACAGATCATATGTACAGTGGTGCTACAAGGGATCAAAGCAACCCTTTACAGTCGTTTTCAATTCGATAGACCAGATTTCACTCTTGTGGAGCGTGGAGCCTTGTTTACTAGCAGTGAACTTAGTACTGTTTTCCCCATGGGACACATAACTTGTTTGCTGTTGTCCTCTCGTCCCTTCGCGTTTCTTTGTTGCAATCTTGACTAAGATTGATTTATCATCTCTGAAAATACACGTCACCTACATCTTTGAGATTCAAGCATCATACCTAAGCCTTGAGACCAGAATTAAAGCCCGTTATCGCATACTTCTGCCCGAAGAGATAGCAGGATGGTAGTCCTGAGCGATCCACGAGCTCGCTCGTCCCTGACTCCATGACATCTCCATATTAGGGATTCTGACCCTCCCAGTGCATTCGCGCACTACAACGGGGCTCAAAAAGTAAACAGAGTTTCTTGCTCCACGAAAGCAGAAACTGGTCTATCGAAATGAAAACGACTGTAATTGTATTGCAACAAAAATAATCGAATTGATTAATGTCAAGCGTTGTCGATGGAATGAACGCACGAGGGAAAAACGCGCTGCGTCTGCACCGACACAAAAGGACTGTGGGAAACGAGATAAGATCGTTATTGCCCAGATGAATGCCTCTTGCCTCATAGACCTACTCACAAGAAACCACCGAGCAACAGACAGGGTAGCTCCACCTCCGTGGACTTTGGGCCCGAGGACGAATTCACTGGCGCCATAGGCCAACTTACCCTTAACGAGGACAAACAGGTGCGCTACCATGGCAAGGCCAGCAGACTCTACCATTTAAGAGTCAAATCAACGGCAAGAGACAAGGAAGGAGGGCGGCATCTGGTGTGCGATCTTACCCGCCACGTAGGGTGGACTGTATTATTATGTCTTCACGCGCTTTCCCAAGGCCAGAGCGCGGCCACTGATAACTCCTGGCGCTCGAGATATCTCGACGACGCACTCGGAAGCCCTGTAAGATGATCGGTTGAAGGACGACCTCGGCAGGCAGGATATTATTGTGGGTATTTATTCACCAAAACATAGGCAGTTGGAGCTATTGGAAAGAAGTGGATGAAAGAGTTGTTTCTCTTGGTGAACGCAGTGTAGGGTCGAAGGTGACACAACTTCAGCAGGAACTCCTATATATGTTCTTCATGTGGTCAATTTGTATATTAGGCGTAGTGTAATGTTGTAGCAATGTGAAATGGATATACATGTGATATGACCATGGAACCATGCAAAGGACTGGGGGTGATGATGCAACCTTGGATTTGCCTTGGTAGAGATAGACTGTAAGCACGTGGCGATGAAAGACATGGTATTGGTGTAGACGAACAAGACATTCCTTGCTCCGCTCCAGCTCATGAGCTGAAGGAGTTCCACTAACCCTAACCCTCGGGTGGTCATCACATATAAGCAAGTAAAATTAAGAATACTTGTTGAAGACTATAAGGATAGAGGCTACGCTTAATCGCTCCAATATGTAAAATGTTTTGCCGAGTCTGCATTGAGGTATAGCAAACAATCAAACACAGAATGCAGCAGCAGAACTCCAGACTCCAGACAGCATATCGTAGATCAGGAATTGATTGACACGAAAGGACATTGATTGATATGTATTCCCCACGTCGAAACGATCATCTTCAGTGCAACGACGCAAATACCAAAATTACGAAGGCACTCTTATAATTAATGCAGACTCTGAGTCATACCAGCTCATGAGGTGTAACATTTGCGGAGAGAAAAGGACAGTGCATGGGATTGGCCAAGGGCTTTGCATAAATATAGACATACCAAATTAACCAGTTGCAAGACACATCTCCTTTCGAAAATGGACAGCAGATGTCAATAACATGCACGGTGGTTATCAGTCACATTGCACCCATCAAAGTCACATTGGAGCCTTGTGCGACGTGAGCTTATTGACACCTAAAGCTCGGAGAATTTGACACGCCGAGACATCATGTAACGATCAAAGAACATACATTGCAACTGAGACAATCTGAACATTCACCAGAACTAATCTATCACCCTAGCGCACCCGAGCGCGCGATAAGTAGTACTCATGCCTGCTCGAGGCCGAGCGAGCCCTGAACGAGCTTGATGCGGTAGCCGTTCAGCTCCTCCCTGATAAAGTTGTCGATATGCTCAGTGTCCTCGGAGCGTATCACCTTGCGTGCCATCATCCCCACCGCGATACGCTTCTCCCGTTCGTCCAACCCCTCCATGATCGCGTTCCCGTTGCCAACCACGCCATCTGTGTTGCCGTTACCGTTCAGGGCGCTGTTGATGCCGTTGGACAGCCGAGAGGTTTCCGTCGAGCGCCTTGACCGCTTCCTCGAGCTTGAGGTCCCCGACGCGTGCCTTGACAGCCACACGCTCTTCGGGGTTCGGCGGCTCGACGTACGCCTGCATGCAGAACTCGATCGTCACCTGCAACTCGCTCTCGCTCATGTCTTTGCCCACGTCCGCGTTGTCCCGGATGACTGGCCGGAAGTGAGCGAATGCGCAATCGAAGTTGTCCTCGTCAGAGTCCGAGAGCACGGGAACGCTCTGCGACCGGATCTGCCGGTACGCAGACCAGACGACATACAGGAAGCGCATGTACCCGGTTCCGACCTTGACAGTGTGCCATTCGGCAGCGTCGGTCTCGAAGATGTTGCCCTTGATGAGGGCGCTGATCGTCGCGGCAGCGGATAGACCGCTGGAGAGGGCGAGGTGGATGCCAGAAGAGAAGTAGGGGCCGATGAAGGCTGTCCGAGTAACTATCAGCATTCCTTACTTCAGAAAGCTGAGCAGATAACCGCGTACCACTGGCGTAGGACGAACCCAAGTATGAGTAGCCACTCGCGCTGCGGACCGTCGCCGCACCGTTCTTGCTTGCGATGAGCTTGTCGTCGGCAATGGGATCCTGGATGCGGGGTGCAAGCTTGAGTTCAGTGAGGTAGTGGCCAAGCAAGTCCTCAGTGACTGACGGGTCTGCGGCAGAGCAGAGCTCAGCCTTCTTGTTCGAGATCTCCTGCTCGATAACGTGACCGACTCAGGTCGTGTCGTCGTGCAGAGGAATGAACCAGCACCAGCCCGACTCGTCTAATGTATTGATGAGCACTCGTGCGTCTCGAGGGTTGAATAGAAATGGGGTGCTCACCAGAAAGCGCCTCAAAGAAGGGGACTACCTTCGCGCGTCGCCCCCGGAGAATGCTTCTCAATGCCATCGCCCTCCCAATATGCCCAGCGCGCGACATTCTTGAGACTGTTGTTGAGCTTGCGGCTCTTGAGGTACTGCGTGCTCAGTATGCCTGCACGGCCGCTGGCGTCGATGAGGTAATCGAATGTAGTCCGTCCGGTAGCACCGTCGAGGGTCTTCCAGCTTGCGACTATGTCTCGCGCTGCTAGATACAGGTTCACCCATGGCGGGAGAAGGCTGATCCCACTCGATGGAGGTGACCGTGACGCCGTCCAGAGTCACTGCGCTGCACTTGGCAGCGCGACGGAACATCAGCTCGTCAGCTTGGGAGCGGACCTGAGGAAGGGGTGCGAGCGAGAGCGTACCTGCATATTGTACATCAAAAGCGAAGATGAGGGCGATGGCGAGCGAATTGACAGCGGAAATGGATACGGAGAGCAGCGGTACAGAGTCGGGAAGAGTGTATTGAGAGTGTAGGTGCCATCCGTGAGTCGGTCTTCGTGAACTCATAGCCCAAGCGATGGAGGTATGGTACACACTTGATGCTGGTCCTGGCAGGGCTGAAATAAGCGACTGCTGACATTGACGTTAGGAAACTTGAGTGACATACCATCTCTGCGAACGCGAGGATCCACAGTCCGAAAACGGGGAGAGAAAGAAGGAGGGGAGGAAAGGAACGAAGTGGCAACTCTGGGTCCATTATCTTATCAACGGGAGCGTGGCCCAAAAAGGATGAGAATGTCCAGATAGAGAGTGAATCTGATCTGAAGGGGATCTCATCAAGACCACAAACAAAAAAAACAAATAAAAGCGGGCAGAAATTTTGAAGATACGAGTAAAGTAATCTTCGGTATTTTGGGAATAACATGTTTAATAATGTAGTTGTTGGTAAGTTAGCTAGATAGGTGTAGTGTTGCCGCAAGGTGCGGTACCTTGAAAGAAATTCAAGGTCAAGATGACCTTAAGTTGACAAATTCCCGTTAGCGTCTAAGCTAAAGGGTAAGAGGGGGTCGCTAAGGATCTGTTTCCTCGGGTAGATTGAAAAATTGAATGTATCATGTGACCGCGGGATAGCTGGCCTTTGTGGTCTTGTTCTCTTATTCCTGTTATCTCTTAAGGTAACAGGGGTTTATGGGGACGGTCGTCTTTCTTCTCTTTACAGCCCGATCACATATCTCGATTGCCGCGCCGATTGCTCCTCCGCGCCTTGCTAGTACATTCGACGTTACTCGCCCTTGTGTCAACCCATGTCCTTGCTTCTCCTCTTCATTTCATTGCTTGCTCCCGGTGTGCCAGTGGGTGCCAATGCCCCAGTCCGCATGTTTGCTAGTACCCAGTTCCTGTACGTGATCTGTTGACCCATACGCATCCCAACGGCGCGTTGTCTCACCAGGCTCCCTTGTCTTAGGATGTCTCGGACCCATCCTTAACGGAGCGCCAGGCGCTGATTGACAAAGTTAAAGACGCTGGCGCTGCGTTTGTTGTTGGTCAGTCTGACCATTTAATGGATTTGCTAGTGAAGGCTCCTCTCCGTTGGGAGTTGTATGCGGCCATGCTGCTGCTGATATTTCCTGTGGTTGGTGGTTTCCTCACCAATGTACTTCCGTCTCACTAACATGGTACAGATGTTTTTGCGTGTGCTGTTGTCCTCCCTATTCTGCGTCTTGGTTAATCCGCTGTGCGGGCTCGACTCCCTCACAAATCAACTTCTCGACACCCGCTGCAAATGCAATATGGGCGAGTCCTCCCTGCTTCCGAGCAATTGCATTAAGTACATACACATTTTTGCACATACAACTGAACACGCCGTTGACACCGTCTTCTTCCATTCCAAGTTCTAAGACACCGTCTTCAACGGGAGAAGGGAGTGCCAAGCAGACGACAACGACTTATACACACCTGAGTGATGGACAAATCTGAGGTCAACATGTTAGGGTACCTTTGGTGAATGGACGGTTCCGGCCTCAGTCTGCCAGACGACAGACCTATATTACTTGAATAGTGATAATTAATGGCGTACACTTTGTTCTGCGTTCAGTGCATACGAGGGAGTCCACATGGGCGAGGCAAAACGCTAACGGGCTTTGCCGTGCACTGGCGCGCGGCGTTACTCAATAATATACCAAATGAGGAACCTGAACTTGAGATGATCCAGGCAATGTCCGTGTGTTGCCCACCCTGTCTTGAGAAAACCCCCTATGATTATTCATTGCTGCCACTAACGTACTCAGTACTGTATGCAGGGGCCGTTAATTTCCCATTTTTCGCGAGTAACGCGTCAAGAGCCAAGAGCCCAGAAGCGAATAGTACAATCGACTCTAGTCCCTTACTGCATACCTCCCATAGTGCATACGTTCTAGTGATGCATAGGTTTCGGCTTTCCAAGTTGGTTTGCGGGGTAAGCGCCCGTAATTCGCACAACGCATAATGCATAGGCCAGCAGGATTGCCAATGCATAGCTCAGGGGTAAAAGGGGCCGAGTTTGTCGTAGTTACAGGCTGATTGACTAGGATGTATGCAGCACCTCCCTCTGTCCCAGTCTCTTCTAGGCTCGTCAAGAACCCCCACTTGCAGTCCACCACTCCAGACAAGCTCCTCATGAACGCAGTCGACAATTTTGAGGCACGGGGTGTATTACATAAGCGCAACCGACCTCAAATTGACGAGCGTCTTACCATAAGACCACTAACGACGATATTTTTAGGCTGTGGTGAAGGCACAGGAGGCGCGGGACAATATGGAGATTACAGGGACAGATAACGTTGACGACGAAGGTGATGTTATTGAGGAGCTGCCCAGGCTGAGTGGTCCTTCAAGCCTCGGGTCTGATCAGTAAGTATGTCGCTGCATTAGATGACCGGGCCATGGCACGCAAGTTGGAGGTTTTGCTGGGGCCATTCAATCGCTAGCTACACTTAGATCGGGTGTCGAGCTTGAAGGAAACTCAAATTACACAGTATTTTGCTAGACTCGTGACCTGTCTCCCGTCGGAGACGCGTACACCGGCCGAGGGGCCTTCGAGACTGGGAGATTTGCAGCACTCCGTAGCAGGGAACCAGCGGAGTCCAAAACTCGGCGGGCGAGAAGCATCGAAGGGCGGCGGAGATCGGTTAGATAAGCCGGCATCATCGCGGCCGATCGTGCACTTGTAGCATTGCGTCGCTTCGCGCTGCGCTATGTACGTGCCATGCTATGAATATAATGATTTTGTGCCCATACTTCCCGCCTTGAATATTCTATACAATGTGAGGAAGAGACGACGCAGAGATGAGAGAATGTATGCACCTTCCATAGTTCCTTATCATCTGGAGTATCTTGGTTAATTTGAATTGTGGAGACGCCGTAGTTATTAAATTCATCGACCTGAGTGCTATTAGCATCAGCTCAGACATGCTGGATGTATCGCTTACATGACTATTTTGTAG